AGGGGGGGTGGAAGAGAGGGAGGGAGGGAGAGAATGGGGAGGGAAGGGGGAGGGAGAGGGAGAGGGAGGGAAGGGAGAGAGAGAGGGGAGGGAGAAGGGGAGGAAGGGAGGGAAGGGGGGAGGCGGGAGGGAGGAAGGGAGAGAAGGGAGGGGTAGAGAGAGAGAGAGAGAGAGACAGGCAAAAAGACAGAGACAAACAGAAAGAAAATTCGCATTCACAAAGACACAGACATACCTATAATTACAAAAAGAGAGAAGAATAAATTTTTAAATTCATGTTACACAGTCGAACCTTTCCTTCATCTATATAGCGATTCTCTTTCTCGTGACAAAATCGCACCCAAGAAATAGCATGCGAAGGTGTGTGTACGAAAACAACAGACAGAATGCTTGATTGCGTGTGGACATGATCAAACTCGAAATAAACATCCCGCTCTCTCTGTCTCTCTCTCTCCTTTCCCCCCTTCTCTTTCTCTCTCTCTCTCGCCCTCCCACCCTCTCTCTTTCTCTCTCCCTCCCTCTCTTTCTCTCTCTATCTTTCTCCCTCTTTCTCTTTCTCTCTCTCTCTCTCCCTCTCGCTTTCTATCCCTTAAGAATTACCACAACTCTTTTAAAGAGTATATAGGCAACTATGTTGATAAACAGTCTAAACAATAAAAGAGAAATGATCACCCAAATAGAGAAAGAGAAAGAGAGAGAGAGAGAGAGAAAGAGAGAAAGAGATAGATAGATAGAGATAGAGAGAGAGAGAGAGAGAGAGAGAGAGAGAGAGAGAGAGAGAGAGAGAGAGAGAGAGAGAGAGAGAGAGAGAGAGAGAGAGAGAGAGAGAGAGAGAGATGAGAAGAGCAGAGAAGAGAAGAGAGAGAGAGAAAGAGACAGAGAGAGACAGAGAGAGAGAGAGAGAGAGAGAAAGAGAAAGAGAAAGAGAGAGAGAGAGAGAGAGAGAGAGAGAGAAAGAGAGAGAGAGAGAGAGAGAGAGGGAGAGGCACTAACAGACACAGAATGAAAGAAAGAAAGAAAGAAAGTAAATCTTAGTCTTATGTTAAGCCTCATAGTTGAAAGCCTGGTACATACGATGCTTTCTCTCGTGTCAAAATCGCACACACGAAATGGCAAGCGAAGATGTGTGTACGAGAACAACAAATAGAATGCTAGATTGCGTGTTTCTATGACCTCATTCGAAATAAACATTGAATCCACGCGAAAAAAATGAATTCAAAGAAATACCTAATAGAAACATGGTGGAATTTGCACTCTCTCTCTCTCTCGCTCTCTTTTTCTCTCTCACTCCCCCCCCCCTTCTCTCTCTCTATCTCTTTCTCACTCCTCCCTTTTCTCTCTCTCTCCCTTTTTATCCCTTAAGAATTACCACAGCAATGTTCAAGACTATACAAACAACAATGACGATAAACAGCCTAAACATTGTCGTGTGGGTTATTCGTTATTATTATAACGAATAACCCACACGACAATCACACAGACAGACAACAACAAAAATAACCACAACATAACAATCATAATACCATTACACCAGAAGACTACATCCATAATCGTATTCATTCCAGGAATATCCGTGTTTGTAACTCAGACGAGGAAAGTTTGTTGCGCGATTATTGGCGGAAACGAAAAATGATTAATGATGTTTCCTTTTAAAAGGATTTAGCTGCCATTTCAAGGAAGGACAGGATGATGACGCTGTGGTTTTACCAGAGGTCGAATGTCGTAGGAATTGTGGTCGAGTTGTGTTTGTGGGTGAGGTGGGGAGGGAGGGAGAGAGAGAGAGAGAGAGAGAGAGAGAGGGAGAGAGAGAGAGAGAGAGAGAGGGAGAGAAAGAGGTAGAGAGAGAGAGAGGGAGAGAGAGAGAGGGAGAGAGAGAGAGAGAGAGAGAGAGAAAGAGGTAGAGAGAGAGAGAGGGAGAGAGAGAGAGGGAGAGAGAGAGAGAGAGAGAGAGAGAGAGAGAGAGAGAGAGAGAGAGAGAGAGAGAGAGAGAGGGAGGGGGTAGGGAGAGAGAAGGGGAAGGGAGGGTAGTAGATGGAAGAGGGAAGGGGAGGGGGGAAGGGAGGGAGGGTGGTAGGGAGGGGGGGAGGGAGAGAGGGTGAGAAAGAGAGAGAGAGAGAGAGAGAGAGAGAGAGAGAGAGAGAGAGAGAGAGAGAGAGAGAGAGAAAGAGAGAGAGAGAGAGAGAGAGAGAGAGAGAGAGAGAGAAAGGGGGGGGTCATAATAAATGCAAGAGAAAAATGGAAAAATCCTGTTTCTGTTGAATTTTCTAGTCCATCTTGATAATCCAGATATGTCAGTATATCACGTACAGTGCATTGAATTTCATGCTCTTCGTTCTAGCAATGGATTTTTATTACCGTTGTTCTTCGTGTTTCTGTCTGTCTGTCATTTTTATTTCGCTTCTGCCTTGCCTGTAATATACAAAGAAAGCGAAGACGATCGTTAAAAAAATGAATGATAAAATATGCTATTAAGATACACTTAAAAAAAAAAATATATATATATATAGGCAATATGCGCAATAGTACTTCCGTTATTAATACTAATTAAAAATAATTAATGATGTACTGGGTTTCGAAAGTACCCATTTAATTTGAAGTTTGAAGCTAGCTGTAATACCTAAATTGATCTCACTCTGTTTCTCTCTATCCTCTCTGTCTCTATCTCTCTATTTATCTGTCACTCTGTCACTGTCTCTCTGTCTGTCTGTCTGTCTCTCTCCATCTATCTATATCTCTCTATTTATCTAGCTGTCACAGTCTCTCTCTCTATTTATCTATCTGTCACTGTCTGTCTGTCTGTCTGTCTGTCTGTCTGTCTCTCTCCATCTATCTATATCTCTCTATTTATCTATCTGTCACTGTCTCTCTATATTTATATTTATCTGTCTGACTCTCTCCTCTCTTTCACTGTTTACCACTCTTTCTCTCT